CCCCCCACCCCCCCCCCCCCCCGGCCCCTAAGCAAAAAGCAAAAATCCGAAAGCTCCGAGCCAAGATCCGTAGTCCTAAACCCCAAACCCCTGCCGGCCATGGCAGGCTGCTGAAACAAAAGCTGAAGGTGAGAAAAGCCTGGAAACTGAGTGATACTATTCCTCGGGGTATTGGTAATATAGATAAACCTCAAACCCTAATCCCATATAGTGCACCTAGAAACTGAACAACATGCTCTAGTTTCTAGTCCTTCGGGCCCCCGTAAAGGCCGATCCTCATGGCCTTATAAGCCCTCTGCAACCCAACGAGGTCGATGCCGAGGGCGAGGAAGAGGAGGCCCTGATCTGCAACAGTTGTCGTCTCCCTTTTCGTTGTTGCTAGTCTTTTGTGGTGTTTTGTCTACTGCAGTGTGTAATTTTAGTGTTTTGGGGAATTGAAACCTTCTCTTTTGGTGCTTAACAAGCAGTTTTTGCGCCACCGTTTCCACGACTTTCGCGCGCATGGCAAGATGCATGGATCCATCCACCTTCCAGTCAAACGGTCGATGGTGCTGCCAGCAGCACCGCCGCCAATTATAGCCTACTTACGAAGTCCCCTGACCCTTGAAATGAAGTCGTTTCTCGTACAGACCCTAGATCTTCGCCTCGTTTCTTTATAGCACACTTGATGATGTAGCAAGCATTAAACCCGAAAGGCCTAAGCCAGTACTCGGCAATCTCTGTCCCGACGCCGCAAGCTCTGGCGAGCAGGAGACCCAGCAAATGGGCTCGGAGGAGGCCGGTCAGGGTCATTTGTCTGCTTACACTTCACCCTACCAAGAAAAATTGCCAAAAAGTGCTTTTTCTGAAGGATGTCTACACACGCTACTGACTAGGCTTGATTACGAACTTTCAGGCCAGCCTCCAACCCCGCTGATCTCAGCTTTCGGTGTTTGCTGGACGAAGACCAAACAAGACATCAGACAGCCAGTCTGAAAACGTCAATCCCCAAAGGGTCCAAACTGCCTACATGAGGCATACTTGCCCGCACAATTATAGCTTTACCTACTATAGATACCCTGCTTTCTACCTTCTCAGTACTTAGGACCCTTTGAGACCCTGGGTCTGAATGCTTTGCGAGTGCATTATATACTGTAGGCCCTCTGCCACCTCCCCCGCCCCACCTTGACAGTGCCAACCTATTCAGCCAATGCTATAATTTTAGCACATCCATACATGCACCTGTCTCTGTGTGTGTGTGTGTATGTATGTATGTCTGTATGTATGTCTGTCTGTATGTATGTACGTATGTATGTATGTATGTATGTACGTATGCATGTATATGCAAAGATAAATCCATATACTGTAAGTGCATTGCTGCATAGATAGATGTACCGATAGGTAGATTGGTAGATACGAAGATACATAGACAGATAGGTACATGGGTACACAGTTACATAGTTACATAGATAGATAGATAGATAGATAGATAGATAGATAGATAGATAGATAGTTAGATAGTTAGATAGTTAGATGGATGGATTGATAGAGAGACATAGCTAGCAGCTAGATAGATAGATAGATAGACAGACAGATAGATGGATGAGTAGGTCGACCGATGGATAGATCGATAAATAGATAGACAAATAGGTAGAGTGACAGAAAGAGAGACAAATAGATTGATCGATTGCTTATGTTTTTGTGGATAGATTGATTAGTCAGGCTGGCTGGAGGGAGGGAGGCAGGGCGGGAGGGAGGGAGATAGATAGATAGATAGATAGATCGATCGGTAGATCTATAGATTGGATAGATTAGATAGAGTAGACAGATAGATGGGATAGATAGGGTAGCTGGGAGATTGGGAGATAGATAGATAGATAGAGAGACCGATAGACAGATAGATAGACAGACAGATAGGTAAACAGTTAGAGAGATAGATGGATAGATAGACAAGATGTAAGCCCGATTTGTTTGCAAGAGAGGTGAAATGATTTTTGTGTCGTTGTAAGAGACTCCCGATTTCGCAGTCAGGGCTTGTCCTGCCCTCCATCAGAGCATCCCCTAAGCCGAAACCCAAAACTCTAGACTTGTCGTAACAAGCAGCCTAGAACACACACACACACACCTTAAACCCTACTTGGAGGTTCACGGGTACTTATAAGTGGGGTTATAAGTTAGGTAACTATAGTTATAACCTATATTAGGGGACTTATAACCTTACTTCTAACTACCCATGAACCTCCAAGTAAAGCCGAAATCAGAGGATTTGTGAGTTCCCGGTCCGATTCGAAGCGAGGGCTGGCGATGCTGCAAGCGCCGCCGCCTCGAGGAGTCGAAAGGGAAATCAAAGCAATGGCCTATTCTTGGAGGTTCATTGGTACTGATAAGTAGGGTTATAAGTCCCCTAATATGGGTTATAATTATAGTTACCCTACTTATAACCCCATTTATAACTACCCATGAACCTCCAAGTACCCATAGGCCCCTTAGTAGTTCCTTTTTGTGGCTTCTATTTAGGATTCTATTAGGGAATCCCGAAAAGGAACTACTATGGGGCCTATGGGTAGTTAGGGCCCAATATAGTTGGTGAGGGTTCAGAGTTTCGGGTTCAGGGTTTAGGGTTTCGCGTTCAGAGGTTCGGGTTTCGGGTTCAGGTTAGGGGTTAGTGCGTGCTTATGGCTTTGGGTTTTAGGGTACATTCAGGCGATTGCACAAGTCCTGATGCAACAAAAAGGGTACATGGTTAATTGATGTTAACAGTCTACAGGTTTAGGGCTTCGGGGTTTGGGGGTTTTTGGGGTCAGGTTGCAAGGCTCAAGGCTTGGGGGATGGGGTTCATGTCGGAGGTGTTTTACGGTCAGGGAAGCCCAGGGGAGAAAGCGAAACCGTAGATTCTGCTCGGCATCAAGGCGTTTCGGGGTGCACACCCAGAGAGCCCAATACTCCTTAATCAAGGAATATGGCTTAAATTATAAGGGGCTTCATACTATGATTTATGCCACATTCGTTAATTAAGGGGTATTGGGCTCTCTGGGCAGGTATCGATGCGCCAAAATCAGCTGTTCCAAAGGTATGTTGTTGTGGCCTCAACCAGGTTGAGGGATTAGGATCGCTTAGGACGCAACCACCAAAGGATGCCTTGGCAATAATACATGTATATATATATATATATATATTCTTGTTTTCCTTATATATATATATATATGTGTGTGTGTGTGTCTGTCTGCCTCTGCATGGTCGAAGGCATAGGTGCGCAGTATACCAGTCTGCTGGCCGCTAGCAGACCGGTCCGGCCACCGTGGATGCAAACGCAATATCCGCCTCTGGCGCCGTGCCCAACACCTTCGCAGGCAATTTGCAAGAGTCGAACTGTCTAAACCCTAAACCCCTTTAAGGAACCCTGTAGATCCCTTTAAGGAACCCTATAGATCCCTTCAAGGAGCCCTATGGCCAAAGGCTAAAAGCCTTGCTGGGCCATAACCCGAACTCGAATCTCTAAGCTCCGGATGTTCGCAAACCCTACTGAACACAAATGACAAAACCCTAACGCGCAGCCCTCCAATCCCCTGCATCGTTCCTTGTGGTTGTAACGGATCGTTAGCAAATGGTATGACCTCATGGTTTTGATTTACTTCCATGAGCCCTATATTTACATAATATACTATATTTCAGTTGATCGGGACTCTTCTATGAGGTTCGGTACTGCTCCGCATGTCGAGTCACGCGAACTTGGCGTGTTGCAGGACGCTGCAGATACCCCGGAGGATGATGAGGCTTCACCGGCGCTCTTGTTGTGGTTTCGGGCCCTCAACCCTAAACGGCTCTAGACCCTAAGGTTGAGGGCAGGGTGAGTGTTCAGGGATTGAGTCTTTTCGGGCACGCCCTTGCAGACTATATGTAACTGATGTAACCCACTATCCAGAATCATGTAGAAAGGCCAGAGGCAACAGCCAAAGCTGAAGGGAACTGTGACTTTAGGGTTTAGGGTTTAAGGTGGCTTCGGGTTTCAGGGCTGAGTGTTTAAATTCAGGCAGGCTTCCTGGCAGGGTTTCGTTCCAGCACAAGTGCTTGTTATGTTGATTGCGAGAGGGAAAAACCCAGCCAGTCGATGGGTTCGGTTTTTTTCGTTTGGGCTTTTAATAGGGTTTGGGGCTCAGATAGGATTCGCATTGGGTATAGAGGTTTTCGAGTCTGGGCTTGTTCTGTTTGGGTTCGCCTATAACCCCAAGCTTCGACGACTGGGGCTCCATACAACCCCCTACTTGGAGGGTCGGGGGACGTAGTAAGTAGATATAAGTAGAGTTATAGGTACCTAAAAGGGATCCTAATTGGGGTTATGATACTTATAAGTCTATAAGTAGAAGCCAGAAAGTTGG